GAAAATATTGCAAGCAGCCAGAAAGTAACAATTCATATATCATGGAGCCATAGTCAAGATACAAAATTTAGCAGCTTTCACATTAAAGGATCAGAGAGCTTGGAATATGATATTCCATGGGTAAAAGAGGTAGGATTACAACCAAAAATCACCTACCAGCAAAAGTGAGTATAATCCTATGGGAGAAAAAAATGGATGTTCAATGAAGCAGAGGACTTTCAAGCATTCCTGATGAAAAATCAGAGCTGAACAGAAAATTTGACTTCCAAATACAAGACTTAAGCATAAAAAGTTAAATAGGAAAGAGGAATTATAAGTGATTCAGTTAGGTTAAACTGTTTACATTCCTACATGCGAAGATATATGTAACTCCTAAGAGCTTAATCATTGTTAGGGCAATTAGAAGAAGTATACATAGAAAGAAGATATGGGTGTGAGTTGAATATGATGGGATGATTTCTAAAAAATAAAATTAAGGGGTGAGAAAGAGGAATACACTGGGAAAAGGAGAAAAGGAGAGGTAGAATGGAATAAATTATCTCACATAAAAGATAAAAGAACTTTTACAGTGGAGAGGAAGATGGGGAAGGGAGTGTTGGTGGACAATGCTTGAACTTTATTCTATTGGAATTGACACAAAGAGGGAATAACATACACAGTCAGTTTGAAATCTTATCTTAACCTACAGGAGAATAGGAGGGGAAGGGGATAAGAAAATGGTTAGTACACTGATAGAAGGGTGGGCATATTTAAGGAGATGGTAGTCAGAAGGAAAACATTTTTAAGTATGGACAGCATGAAAGGAGAGAGAGAGAGTAGGATTAATGGGTAGGGAATAGAATGGAGAGAAATACACAGTAATTGTTAACTATGAAAAAACTTTTATAGCACCTTTCTCTGATAAAGATCTCATCTCTCAAATCTCTAGAGATCTGGGTCAAATTTATAAAAATAAGCCATTCCCCAAATGTTAAATGATCAAAGGACATGAATAGGCAGTTTTCAGATGAAGTAATGAAAACTATCTGCAGTCATATGAAAAAATGCTCTAAATTACTATTGATTAGAGAAATGAAAATTAAAGCATTCCATGCCTATCTGATTGGCTAATAAGACAGAAAAGGAAAATGACAAATGTTGGAAGGGATGTGGGAAAATTGAGACACTTATTCACTGTTAGTGGATTTGTGAACTGATTGAACCATTTTAGAGAGCAATTTGAAACTATGCTCAAAGGGATATAAAACCCTTTGACCCAGCAGTACAACTATTAGGTCTGTATCCTAAAGAGATTTAAAAAAAAAAAAAAAAAAGAAAAGAAAAAGACCTATATGTACACAAATATTTAGACACAGCTTTCTTAGTGGTGGCAAAAAAAAAAAGTAAATTGAGGGGATGTCCATCTATTAGGGAATGGCTGAACAAGTTGTGGTATATGATTGTGATGAATACTATTGTACTGTAAGAAATGATGAGCAGGATGCTCTCAGGAAAACCTGGAAAGATTTATATAAACTGATGCAAAATGAAATGGGAACCAGGTAAACATTATACACAGTAACAGGAATATTGTAAGATGGTCAGTTGTGAACAACTTAGCTATTCTCAGCAATACAGTGATCCAAGACAATTCCAAAGGACTCATGATGAAAAATGTTTTCCATCTCCAGAGAAAGAACTGATGGAGTCTGAATGCAGACAGCAGCATACTTTTTTGAACTTTCTTCCTTTCTTTCTTTTCTTTCTTTCTTTCTTTCTTTCTTTCTTTCTTTCTTCTTTCTTTCTTTCTTTCTTTCTTTCTTTCTTTCTTTCTTTCTCTCTTTGTTTTCTTTCACACCTTTAATAATGCACATGAGCAACCTATATCAAATTGCTTCCCTTCTCTGTGAGGGAGGGAGAGGACAGAGGGAAGAAGAGAATTTGGAACTCAAAATTTTTAAAAAATGAATGTTAAAAATTGTTTTTACAATGTAATTGAGAGGAAAATACAATATTAAATATATTTTTAAAATAGTGACTTACAGCATTTTTATGTGGCTATAGATTACTTTGATTTCTTCTTCTGAAAACTGCCTTTTTATATTCTTTGACCATTTTTCAATTGGGGAATGGCTCTTATTTTTGTAAATGTGACTCAGTTTCTTACTCAGTATATATTACAGAAATGAGGCTTTTATCAGAGAAACTTGCTGTAAAAATTTTTGCTATTACTTCATTGTCTACGGTATCTTTTAGCATAATGTAGTTTCCCTGATTATCGCTTTTAATTAGGTCTATTTTTACTTTTGCTTTGTGTCTGATATCATAATTGCTACCGCTGCTTTTTTTTAACTTTAGCTGAAACATAGTAGATTCTGCTCCAGCCCTTTAATTGAACTCTGTGTCTTTCTTTTTCAAGTGTGTCTCTTGTAAACAACATGTTGTTCCATTCTCATTTCTAATCCATTCCTGCTGTCTGATTCATTCACATTTGCAGTTAGGATTTACTAATCATGTATTTCCCTCCATACTGTTTTCTGTTTCTTCCTCTCTCTCTCTGTCTCTCTGTCTCTCTTCTGTTTTGCTTCTCAAAAAACTACCTCCCTTAATCTACTTTCCCTTTTATCATTCCCTCCACGCTCTTTCTCCCCTTTCCCTCCTATTTTCCTGTTGGGTGTTTCATTTCTGTACAGAGTTGAGTGTGTATATATATTCTCCACTCTTTGAACCAATTCTGATAAGAGAGAAATTGAAGCATTGACCACCACCCCCCTCCTTTTTCCCCTCCATTGTAAAAGCTCTTCCATTGCATGCTTTTTTTATGTGAGAAAATTTTCCCTGCTGTACCTCTCCCTTTCTCCTTGTCCCAGTGTATCCCTTTTTCTCACTTTTTTTTTTGAGATCATTCTAATATAAGCAACTTACACCCATGCCCTCTCTCTATTAAACTCCTTTTAACTGCCCTAATAATGATAAATTCCTTAGGTGTTGACATATATCATCTTCCCATATAGGAATGTAAACAGTTGTACTTACGTCATTTATGTTCACTTTTTTTTTTATTGCTTCTCTTAAGTCTTGTGTTTGAATGTCAGATTTTCTATTTTGCTCTGGTCTTTTCATCAGGAATGCTTGAAAGTCCTATATTTCATTTTATATCCTTTTTTCCCTAAGGGTTACACTCGCTTTTACTGGGAGGATGATTCTTGGTTGTAGTCCTAGCTCCTTTGCCTTCCGGAATATCATTTTCCCAGCCCTCTGCTCCTTTAATGTGAAAAGACACTAAATCTTGTGTGATTCTGATTGTTGGCTCCACAATATTTGAATTGTTTCTTCTTGCTGCATGAAATATTTTCTCTTTGATCTGGCCACTCTAGAATTTGGCTGTAATATTCCTGTAAATTTTCATTTTGGGATCTGCTTCATAAGGTGATCAGTGGATTCTTTCCATTTCTGTTTTACCCTCTGGATCTAAGATATCAAGGCAGTTTTCCCTGATAATTTCTTGAATGTGATTCTAGGCTTTTTCTTTGATCATGGCTTTCAGGTAGTCCAAGAATACTTTTTTTTTTAAATTTGGGATTTTATTTTTCCCCAATTACATGTAAAATCAATTTTTTTAACATTTGTTTTAAAACTCTGAGTGCCCAATTCCCTCCCTTCCTCCTACCCCACCCCTCTTGTTGAGAAGGCAAGCAATTTGATATAGGTTACACATATGTAGTCATGCAAAGCATATTTCCATATTAGTCATCTTGTGAAAGAAAACAGACAAGAAAAAAACCAACCTCAAGAAAAATAGAGAGAGTAAAAAAATTATTCTTCAGTCTGTATTCAGACACCATTAATTCCTTCTCTGGGGATGGATAGCATTTTTTATCATAAGTCCTTTAGAGTTGTTGTAGATCACTGTATTGCTGAGAATAGTTTAGAATCATCTTAACATATTGCTGTTACTTTGTACACAATACATTTCACTTTGCATCAGCCCATGTAAGTCTTTGCAGGTTTTTCTGAGAGCATCCATCTCATCATTCCTTATACTACAATAATATTCCATCACAATCACATAGTACAGTTAGTTCAGCCATTCCCCAATTGATGGGCGTAAGGTGTTATTTTCATCAGTATTTTTTGTGACTTTTACCAAGTTATTGAATTTTTTCATAATTTTCTTGCATCACTCTCATTTATTTTCCCAATTTTTCCTCTTCCATTCTTATTGTTTCCTTTAACTCTTCTAGGAATTCTTGTTGGAATTGGGTCCAATTAGCATTTTTCTTTGAGGCTTTAAACAATCAAGGAGACACAGAAACAGTAACTCACCAATACAGAGCCAGTTTTCAGATAAAACATATGCTAGAGATGTACAGTTGTAAAAAAAAAAAACTCTAGGGCGCAGCTAAGTGGTGCAGTGAATAGAGCACCGGCTCTGAAGTCAGGAGGACCTGAGGTCAAATCCAGCATCAGACCAAACACTTGACACTTACTAGCTGTAGGACCCTGGGCAAGTCACTTAACCTCAGCTGCCTAAAAACAAAAACAAAACTCCATGCATCAATCTTTCAATCTGACTGCATTTCTACTCAGCATAACCTAGGTTCTTGGTTAAGGGTCTCTTAGCAGCAAGGAGAGGTGGTCCAGCTTCCCAGCCACACAGGGCTAGGTTCAAACAATGCAATAAGGTTCTCTCCCAATTCCCACAATTGAATAAACTTTTTTCACAGGACAGAATTTGGACTAGACCCATAATTGAATAGAAATGGAACTGAGCTAGCTGCAGAATTGAGTCATAAGATGGAGTCAGTACATTTCACTCAGTTCCCATCATTAGCCATTTGCTGTCCTTATCCTCAGTTCCCTCGTGTGTGTGTGTATACACATGCACATTCACATACATGTATGCATGAGAGTTCTCCATAGAAGTCAGTGGATGATCCTATGTTTGCCATTCAATTCTCTAAACAGTTTGTGTAATTGGCCATTCATTGAAATAAATTTATGACACACAATTTTTACAGGACTTCTCCTTCACCCTCTTCTTTAAGTGTTTCCTCTTTACAACAATATCATCAACAACTAGTAAAGCCCAAGCATTCAGGCCGTCGCTCAAAGCAAGCACGAATGAAGATTGCAAAAATGAGAAGAGCTTATAAGAAGGAACAGGAGAAAAATATGGAAGTAAGTCCAAGTGCAGAGTGGGTCAGAAAAATGTTTCATCTGCCTGTAGATACAGTTGCCCAGGAAATTCTACTCATTTTCTTAACCTTTAGATTTAATCAGAAGCATTTATGTGCTGAGTATCTTTGACGGTATGAAAGCTATTTTCATCTTGGTAAAAATGTATTTTAAAAACTGTTAAAATGCCATTTGCTATTCTAAAAAACATCAGTTATACTTAACTCTATAATAGAAACTCCTTCATTGAGAATATGCCCTATTCTAAGTTGCTACTGTGAAGTCCATTTATTATGGTCTAGTATTAGTAGGAAAAGAATATTTTTAACTGAAAAGCAATGTCCTGCCTCTGCCTCAACATTTGCAGCAAAAAACTTTTATACTTATATATTGACACTTGTGATTCCGCATATCTCTGTTCATACTCTTCCCAAAATGCAAGTAACTTCCATCTGAATTTATTTCAGGGCTACAGTAAATATCACAGTAACAATAAAAACAATTTCTTACTTTTATTTCTAATTTTAACCAGGAACCAAATACACAAAAAACAAATGAAAAAAATCAGCATCGTATTATTATCATTACTCCATCTTATGAAATTTTGGGAGTTAACTCACCTCCTTCAGATGATGAGTTGGAGCAAGAAGCAAAGGAATTATTTACTTGGACCAAAGAGCTATGTCTTGATAACTCATAGTTAATTAATAAAATACTCCATACCCTTAAACGATTAGAAGTATTAACAAATACAAGTATGTAGATTTTGCTCCTAACCCAATATAAGCGGTAAGTTTTCTAAGCAGTACTTTGATGTGCCATAAACAGAAATGTTCTTGTCCATCAGAATTCTAATAAAAATAAATACTATAAGTTAATGGCTGTGGTAAAATGCTGCATGGTTTTATATGATTAATGATGAATGACTTAATTCTTGGAATCTTAATTTTGTTGTTGTATCATTTTCTTTAAATACCTAAGCATCCTTGGTTTGCATAAAGAATAGAATTCACAGCATATACAACTTGTACTCCAGTTAGCCTCCAAAATATATTGTTTCATGTTTTGCCAAATATTGCAACAATAAGAACAATACAATCTGCAAGGTCATTACAGAGAATGTTTAATACTCTTAAGTATTCTTTTTGGATATTTTAAAAAATATTTTTCAAATATAAAATTGAAAACTGTTTTGAACAAATAATCTACTTAGCATTTTAAACTTTTAAATTCGGGTACCTAACTTAGGGAACTGTTGACAATGACAAAAACTTTTCTGTGATTCTGATCTGGTGTAAAATATCTGTTTTTCCCAGTGGCTGGCATTAATGAACCAAAAATAATTATAATTATTTCTGAAACAACAGACTTAATTTGCATTTTGATGAACATTTAAAATGTATGAATTTGATTAGAAGTTTTGGTCAAAAGAAATTAGTTGCATAGCCACATAAAAAAATTTCATCTGCTGCTAAAAATATTCTAATAATAATACTACTGTTGTGCTCGCTTCGGCAGCACATATACTAAAATTGGAACGATACAGAGAAGATTAGCATGGCCCCTGCGCAAGGATGACACGCAAATTCGTGAAGCGTTCCATATTTTTTGTCCTGGCCCCACCTTGGTTTTGTGCAGATGCCTTTCAGGCTTCTGCCTTCCTGTTCCCTCTATTAGCTATTCCCATTGTCTATTCAATCTCTCAGACCTCCCCAATTAGAATTCTTACCTAGACCCTTTTCCCAACCCCCTTCTCTGGCCACCCAAAGTTACTTTAGTATTTAAGATCCACCTTGGCCCTCATTCAGATGCTGAGAATCTCAGGCCCACAAGTCTGAGAACCTCTCATGCCACTCATCTTTATGGGTGTCACCCAGCTGAGAATGTCAGGCCCACAAGGCTGAGAACCTCTCATGCCCACTCGTCTTTACGGGTGTCACCTGGCCGATGTGATTTATCGCTAATAAACTTTTCCTCTGGCTGAAGAAAAAAAAAATGCTACTGTTAATTGGTATTCTTTCCAAGGGAATACACTGTGGGAATTTAGTACAGATATTTCACACTCATTTCACATCCACAAAGTGATATGTTATCCCTTGGATTTTAGAACTGTGTTAGGGGCAGCTAGATGGCACAGTGGATAGAGCACTGGCCCTGAAGTCAGGAGGACCTGAGTTCAAATGCAGCCTTGGACCACACACTTGACACTTACTAGCTGTGTGAACCTGGGCAAGTCACTTAACCCCAGTTGCATAAAAAAAAAGAGCTGTATTAGATAAAAGTCAAACTTGAAAGAATTTGAGCTTTTTCTTATCTCTTTATCTTTATTTCCTTATCACATGTTACTTCATTAAACTAAGTATCCCCATCATCCAAAACAATTGAAAATAATAATCAATAGTCAGATGTAGCAATAAAGCCCAGAAACATGATTGTTAAACTGTATTAATTAAATAAATCTTATTTGCCATCCAATTCAGTAAGCAGTTATTAAGCGCCAAGCACTTTTGGTTTTATGATAATATCTCTTAAAACTATACCCTTCTCCTTCACTCACACAGCTGCTTCTCTAGTTTATTTAGTCCCTATATTGGAGTAGCCTTCTACTTGGTCTCCCAGCTTTCCTTCTCTCCCCATTTCCAATTCATCCTTCAGACAGCTACTAAAATAATCTTTGTAAAGCACAAGTATATATTTGCCATATGTAAAAATCTCCAGTGGCTTATTAATAACAATAACTTCTCAACTGGCACAGGATCTTGTTATTGTAGCTGTGGAAGACTTTATTTATTCCAACATCTGCTGGAACTTAGAACAAAAAGCAGCTAATAATTTATTGACTTGTCTCAATGATAGTTTGCTCATTTAAAAGGTAAAGGCATTGTGGGCAATCAGTTATTGGGCTCAGTCAGTCTGGAAGCCTCCATTTTTAAAACCTTGCTTAAAATCCTGCGTACTTCGCAGTTACTTCAGATGGAGGTGGGCATGCTCGATGATTCTAAATATATGCCCATAGCCTGCACGGTGGTGGTGCATGCTCACTAACCCCATCTCCTCATGTGAAACATGGACCAATCAAAATACCATTGTCCTTATATGGCAGACACTCCTGTGTATAAAAAGCCAGACCCACGTCTGATGGGCCCTGGCTATCCCAAGCTTTTTTGTCTTGGTGTTGAATAAACTCTTTTTAACTTGCTGAATTTGCCTCTTTGACCAAGGCAAAGGCCCAAACAAGGATTTCTTTTAGGAGAATCAATAAAAGGACATTCTCACATCAGCAGGGAGGAAGTCTTTGCTAGGGTCAAAATGACTGGAATGTTGTAGGAAAGTGACCACCCCATCTCAGAAAATAAACTAAAAATAGGCATTTTTCCTGGAGTTAGGAAGGACAGATTTCAGAGGGTTCATAAGGAGGATAGGTAGGCTCCTATAAACTAAAATCCTACAGGAGAATTTGGTCCAGAAGGATAGGAGGCTCTCAAGAATGAAATTCTGAAGAGACAAAGAAAAAATTCCACTGAGGAAAAAAAGGTGAGTAGTGTGAAGAGAGTGATATTGATGAATGAATATATGAGTGAATGAATAAATGAAAAAGCATTTATTTAATGTGCCAGGCACCTTACCAGGCACTGGAATCGCAAATACAAAAATGCCAGCAAGGAGTTTTCATTCTAATCAGGGGAGACAACACATGTCGCGTTTATTACCATTCCCAGAGCTAGGGAGAGGGGATATGGAGAGAGAAGGAAGAGTACATGTGTGGCAGTATAGCATGAAGGTGGCTGGAAAGGAGCACGGTAGGTTCTGCGTCTAGAGATAGGGAGAATTCATAGCGGCCCTAGGGCAGAGGTTGGTGTGCTGGGTCAGAAGTCAGAGCCATGCATCTTGGCATGAAGATGACTAAGTTGAGCCTGGGCTAGATAAAGAGAACTTTCACCTATTAGGAGCCTGGGGCCCTAAGATAAAAGCTAAAGTGCGAAAGAATTCATAATTTTAAAGGACAAGTACAGACGAGACTGCCGAGGTGGCAGAATAAGAGTAAGCAGTGTAGTCCAGCTCTCTCCTACAAGTACTCCATTAAAGATCTAAGATCACCAGATGGAAAAATCCAAAGAGAAAACAGCAAAGTCACTTTTCCAGTTTGGGCTGGACGAGGGTCAGAAGCCAGCCAGCTGCTGTGTCTCCCAGAGCTGGGCTGCAAATTCAGTGTGGATTTAGGAGACCTTTGGCAATGAGTGGGGTTAATCTGCAGCTGTCCTCCAGGGCAAGGAGTGGTTGGGGATTCAGTAAAGATAGGGCCTGACTCTGTGTCCCTTGGGAGGGCAGCAGGAATAAAGCCTGCACCTTTGTCACTGTGATTCCAGTATTGGGTTGGAGATCCATCATGGACTAAGGCAAAGATCTGTGCCTAGGAGGAGTACTGACCTGCAGCTGTGTGCCAGGGCAATGAAGAGCCAGCTCAGACCTGGCCTGAAGTAGTGTACTGAGCGAGGAGTAGGAACAGAGAGGAGAGTAGCTATATGGCACTGAGGTCAGATGGCCCACACACTGGGGTGAGGGCTGGCATCTGAGTCAGTCAATAAACATTAAGCGCTATGTGCCCGGCACTGAAGTACACAAAAAGAAGCTGAAAGGGAATAGGGCAGGAAGGTACCTGGTGCCAGGGGCATGATGAAATCAAAGAAGTGCATCCTCCTGGGTAATAAGATGGCTAGCTTGGTCACCTTCCTTAAATGGAGGTTCTAGGATGAGTTCTCTGCCCTTTAATAAGAGGGTCCTCAGGGAAAAGGGCATTTGATGAGATGTGAGTTTCAGAATTGATGTGATTTTGCAGGATAAACAATCCTGGAGCGTGATAGAGAAGTCCAGAGGAGTAAGCTGGATGGGAGATGAAGAATGAATGCCCAGGGTAGGGAATTCAGACCAAGGGGATGTTTGGTAGCATTAAATCCACAGGACCTTCAAGTTGGGTGACAGAGCCTGGGACCAGCCCAGAAGTCTATTAGACCAATGGCAAGCTTGCAGCTATGCCACCCAGTCCCAAATCAGGATCAGGAGTTTGCAAAGCTCAGATGAAGAGGTCAGTGATCAGAATTAGTCTTAGATCAGACCACCAGTAGTACACTCAAAGGCAGCAGATGTCCCTAGCCTGAGCTATCCCTAGGACTCAGGAACACATTATAACTACAGAAAGCAGTGGCAAGACCTTAGAGATACAAATAAGAACCAGATATTCCCTCCAGATGTATGAAGAGTCTGACCTTACTAATATAACATCTCAGCTTCTTGTAAGGCTGGAAGAATGAGAAAGTAAAGATTCCCATGATAAAGGGTACCAGGACTCAAAGCCAGAAGAGAATTATTCCAAAACATCTATAAGCAAAGCCTCTAAAAAACAACACAGCTTTCCCACAAGGTCGACTAGAATTCCTGGAAGGAATAAAACAAGAAATTTTAAAACCATTTAGGATGATATAAAGAAATGGACAAGTTACTTAATCTCTCTTTGCCTCAGTTTCCTCATCTGTAAAATGAGGATAAAATGTAGGGCTGTGCTGGGGCCAGCTCGTACCAGCTCACAAGAGCCAATTGTTAAATTCTCAGTGTATTGGCAACCATTACAAATCAGGCCTTAGTTTATTGTTTTAATTTTCTAGATTTAAGAAAGTAATGGATCAAATATTCCTAATGCAGATTAAACTTTAAAATGTGTTGTGCATATTCTAGAGAGACAAGTGTTAAACATTTTACCAACATATCCCTGAACCTTCCTCCTAAGGTTGTTGTGAGGATCAAGTGACATAATGTAGGTGCAAAACTTAAAGTGGTCTATAATTGCTAGCTATTCATGTGATTATTAAATAACACTAAAAGAATCGGGAAAGACATAAAAGCCTTGAAGGAAATACTTGGGAAGAATTAACAGCACAGTACATAGTACAAGAGATACAAAAGCTTTTGCAATTTACATACTCCACGAAAAGTAGAGCAGAGGAAATAGAAGTTAATAACACTATGAGAGAAAAATATTAAAGTCAAAAGACTGAAAAAGAGTTAGAAGAAAGTGTAAAGTTATCTCATATCCAAAACAACTGACCTGGAAAACCAAGGATTTGAAATCATTGGACCTCCTGAAAACTGGCATGGGAGAAAAAAGCCTGGATATATTTCAAGAAATCTTGAAGGAAAACTGCCCAGATCTATTAGAAACAAATGGCAAAGCAAAAACAAAATCTACCTGTCACCTCGTGAAAGAAACCCCAAAATGAAAACTCTCAGGAATATCATAGCTAAAACACAGGGGTTCTAAATCAAAGGGAATTATTGCAAGCAGAAAGAATGAAAAAGTTCAGCTCCTAAAGAGCCACAGTCAGGATAACATTAGATTTAGTAGCTAACCTATAAAAGAGCAGAGAACTTGGAATTTATTTCAAAAGCCAAAAAATACCAAGTATAACTTATACAGCAAAACAATATAATCCTATAGGGGGAAAAAATGGATTTTAATGAGATAATTTTCCAAGTATTGCTGATGAAAAGACCAGGGCTGAGTAGAAACTTTGAAATACAAACACAGGAATCAAAAGAAACATAAAAATATAAATAC